GACCGAGTTGTTCACGCCCCTGGGCAGAGGCGCGTGAGCCTGGCAGGGACCCAGGACCAGAGGCAGCGCACCCCTGCGTTCATGTCGCTGCTGTTCCTTTAGGTAAGGAATGTGTCCTTCAGGATGGTGATGGAAAGATGAAGACCACATTCTGCCTGGCTAGACTCTCCCTCCTTCTCCTGCCCCGACTCTTCCTCTGCCCTCACACAGGCCAGTGCCAACAGGAGGAAGTCATGGTTGCATGGTTGAAATATCTATTATTTTTCCCTGGAGTTGAATGAGTCATTCTTTACTAAAGAGATTCTCAGCTGTGGCCATGTTTTCTAGAACAGTGCTGCTTGTTATCCCACGTCTATATGATGACAGGAGAGTGTGTCAGGAAGAGGAGCTGATTCGTGTAATGGAAAATCGGTGTCCTTTTTAATGATCTGTGTTTCAAAAGAAGGGATTGGGAGCGACGGGCAGCCTTTCCTGTTTGACTGAGGGCTGCTCCCAGAGGACTGTGCTTCTCAATGCAGTCTTTGTGTCCTCGCTGACGTCAGAAGCTGATTGTATTCATGTGTTTCTCAAGGCCCAACCTAGAAAGCAATTTTAAACTCTGCCATCGAATATTCATGAGAAGACAGGCTTTTTTGTTTTGATGCCACATTCTTTAAGTAGAGAAGGTTTCATTGTTTTCTTGGGGCACTGTGGGTCAAAAGCACCAGCAGCTTCCCTCGGCATTTCCAGTGGTTTTGATGCAGAGATAGCCCAAGTCCGGTTTGACGCAGCTGCCGGTGCTCGCGCTTGTGAGTGAATGGGGACTGTGGCTCCCACTCTGCAGCCAGCTCGCCAGCAGGCCGGGGCCTGGCGTGGCTCACGGCCCCCTCCTGGCCTGGGCGTGGGAGAACGTGTTCTCGGGAGCTCTTGGCTGGGTCTCTGCGGGTGCGGGTGTGAAGCCTTCTGTCTGTGTCCATCAAGACAGCATTATTTACGGCGGGGAAGCAATAGCAGAGTCCCTTTGTGGGGCGTGCAGTGCTTGCAGCAAATGGTTTTCCAACAGCTTAGAGTAAAGCTTGGTGCTTGGCTCAGGACGGCAAACATCCTCTTCCACCTTCAGCAAAAGCGAGGAAATGCTTCCAAGAGCCTGTAACAGCTCTTTGCCCCTGACCCGGCCCTTAGTTGTGTGTCCCCTTACAGCAGTACTGTAGGCCAGCGGGGGCCGAGGAGGGGCCCCGCAGGCCCCTGGTGTGCAGCAGACGCTCAGCTGGTTCTGGTCAGCACTCAGGTGTGGGTGTCAGCTCAGCTCAGCCAACCGCCCAGAGCTCTGCAGAGCCAGGGGCAGCAGGCCGCCCTGGTGCAGCGCAGCCTCCACCTCCTCCCTCCTGCACTCGTAGGCTCATGTTAGCAGATGCTTAGTGTTTCCAGATGCTTCAGACCAGATGTCAGTTTGCATGTCCTTTTAAGTGACTGTGTGATTCTAGCTCAGGAAAACGGGAGAAAAGTTTGAGGGTGGAAACTTGCCGAGTCTGTGTGGAGTCCTGCAAAGCCAACCATTTCATGGGCCCCCTTTGCCCCGGGACTAAGTGTCTCAGCTACCACATGGAGTTGCTGCTTTCTGTCCACTCCCTAATCCCAACCCACATCCGTGTTCTGGTACTTCATTTGAGGCCTCTGCTGCTGTCTGTGTGCACCCCTGCCTCCTGCTCCACTCCCCAGCCTGCAGAGATGCTCTGGGCAACTGCTGTATCAACTCTGCAGCCTTCTGCTCACCTCTTCCCCACCCCACCCCCACCCCTGCCCCAGGCTAGCAGTGATGCTTCTACACGGTCCTCCAGCCCTGTACTGCCTCTGTGCATCCCCACCCCACAGCCATAGCTATGCTCCAGCCCACGGAGATGCAGTGCTACCTTTTGACCTGGCCATTAACAAATTGCACTAGGGCCAGCCTCCTAAGACGCACGCGCGCGCACGCACGCACGCACGCACGCACGCACACACACACACACACACACACACACACACACACACACGCCATGGACAGAAAGCGTTATCTCCGTTTACCAGTAAATAGACGTATCAGAGGAGATACTTGGCCAAGCATGGTTTTGGAGTTAGCAAAAGGAATCCCTGACAGGCTGTTATATCTTCTGTGGAATATTTCTAAAGAGATTAACTACTAGACATTTCTCACAGTCTCCCAGTGTCTGTGAGAATTAGAAATCGGTGATAGAGGCTAGACAGAGTGGCAGATCACCTTGGACCCGAGTTTATGGCATAGCCTTGTTTACAAGCAGGGTCCTAGGTTATATTGGCACACCTGTAAGGAGGAGCCACACTTGATTCCCACACAGAAGGCCAAGAGGGGTGACTCCCTACAGGAAGCAATGTGGTTGTTTTATTCCCATGATTTGAATCCAGGGCCTCACACGTGCTCAATTGATACTCTACCACTTGAGCCATACCTCCAGCCCAGCTTTTGCTGGTTATTAGGGAGATAGAGACTTGAGAATTTTTCTACCTGGGCTGACCTCAAACCACAATCCTCTAGACCTCAAACCACAATCCTCTAGATCTCTGTTCCTGAGTAGCTAGGATTACAGGCACAGGCCACTGGTGCCCAGTTCTTTATGTATTCTTATTTAAGGTAACATATTATTACTTAACTACAGTAGACTCAGAGACATTATAGGCTAGTCTCATTATTCATATGCACTCAGACATTATAAGTAAAATGGCAACAGACTAAATCCATAAGTGAATGTATCTTTGCATAACTCAGAAAAACTTATTCACAGAAAGCAGAGGCAGGTAGCCTCTAAGCCACCACAGAGATGAACAGTGAAAGGAGACCCGTTCTGATCTCTACAGGCCTGGGGTTTGAGGGGCAGCTAGCTCTCCAGCATGTGACAGCCCCGCCCTAACACTGGAGAGCACCCTGGGAGAGTCTCCATCGGGAAGTTGGTCACTCTCGTTTCCGAGTTTGGTTGCTCAGTTCTCCTAGGAAGCAGAACTGCATTTTGATTCCTAAAAGACTGGGGGGGGGGGGGGGGGAAGTACGTATGCTTTATAAAACGGGGATTTCCATTTTCCCTGTTTTGTAATCAAAATAACCATAAAAGTACAGGAAGGACACGTGTGGCCCCACGTGTGTGTGTCGGGGTGCTCACTGCCATCCTTCCTTCTTCTCATAAGTCAAGTCATCCAGCCTGCTGCTGTGTGAGAAAGCACGAGTGCCATAGGTCAGAGGAAGCAGGGGGAGCGCTCCCCGAGCCGGCCAGGCAGGGAGCCCACGGCGGGCACGGGCACCTGCAGGCCCTCCTGACGGCCTTTGGGCTGTTTCCTCTTGGCCAGAAAAGTGGCCCAGGACAGGTGCCCCTCGGGTCTAGCCATTCCCTGCTCTGTAGTCTCTTGTTAGCCCGGCCCCAGGGAACTCCGAAGGGCTGTAGGCCAGGTCGAAAGCCAAGGATGACGAGCACCCACGTATGTTTTGTGTCAAGGAACCCGAGCTCCCTTCAGGCCCCACCACCGCCAGCTCAGGCCCCATCCTGACCTTCGCCCAGGGAGCCTTGCTCTGAAACACGATGACCCCTTCTAATGGCAGATTCCAAGCTGTAGAGAGTTCACGGTTACACTGCCTACAGCTTTCCCAACCTTGCCTGAATCGCACAAAGAGGACGGGAGGTGTGCTCCACACACCTCAACTAATAGAGCACCGGCTGTGAGTGGAAAAGGGGAACAAGAGCACAAGTCCTCAAGTTCAAGCCCTGCATGTGCAAAAAAGACAAACTATACAAATAAACAACACAGAAATGAGGTGAGTCCTCAGACCGGGGCCTCCAGCTAGTTGAGGACTTACTGCCTGGCAGGACCACAAAAGTGGTGTGGTGTGAGACCACTTATGAGCTGCTTTATTGGAATTGGTGGGCTTTGGGGTTGTGGGGTGGGTGCAGGGAACTGGGTATGGCTGGGTCTCTGTCTGAGGCAGAGGCCATTTAGCTTCTGGGACTAGAAGCCCAGGTCCTGGGCGTGCAGCAGCCATACTCGGCGAGCCACCTGGCATGTAAGTTGCTGACAAGTGGGACCGGGACTTGGGCCTCTCGTTGGCTTTATTTTTTCTGAGCCTCGTCTGGTGGGCAAGCCCCCCACCTTCATTCCCGGCCCTGAATTCAGCTTGTTGGTGGATAAAGAAAAGCTGGGTGAGGGGGTGAGGGGGGATGGGAGGGGGCGGTCTGTAGGGAAGGACTGCCCGAGAGCACGCCTGTTGACAGTGTCATGTGGGGTGCTGGGGTGCTGATCTTTTAGAGCCATCTTTCCTCTGCATTATTTTTCTGGCCTGAATTTGGAATCGATTCGCGAGCAACAGGATTGATTCAGCTTGTGCTGTGAATCAAAATCACCTGTGGCCTTCCCTCACCGGTCCATGAGCACGGTGTCGGTCGCTGCGGGGAATGTGCTCCACAGAGCCGGGCACAGTGCATTGGCTGTGGGTAAACATGTTTTCCAAGAGAGCGCTCATTTGCCATGGAAACAGGCTCTCGCTCAAGCCTCTATCTGAACTACTTGGGGGCACACACTGTTCTTGGGGCTCACACATGGCTGTAGTGGCTTCATTAGGGAAAACGAAGAAGAAAAGAACAGGCAATTTGCCCATCCAAGGGCTGGCACTTGGTGCTCTCCTTGCCTAACTGGAGGCCTTTTTTGTACTTTCCCTTTATTGACGTCACAACATGATGTCAGGTGGGCCTTGGGGCCTATAATGGAGCCCTTGGCAAGGAGGGCTTCCATTCTGGGGCTGGGAGCGGAAGAGCTTGCTACGTGTCTCCTGACTTGACCTTTTAACATCTTCGTACTTGTGGGATGAGAGCCCTAGGGAGCCCTCGGTCTTTGTTTTGAGCCTTTTGGTCTAGGGGTCGAAGCGTGGCACTGGGAGGAGGCACAGGTGCTGCTGCCGGTGGGGGTCTGGGGGTGCCGGCCTGGCCACTGCGTTGGCCTGCTCTCATGCTGTGTTCTTTCTGCAGTGGATGTGGCCACAGCACTGCCTCTGCAAGTAGCCCCCACAGCAGTGCCCATGGACCTGCGCCTGGACCGCCCGTTCCCGCTGCCCGTGGCGGAGCCGGCGCTGCGGGAGCAGCAGCTGCAGCAGGAGCTCCTGGCCCTGAAGCAGAAGCAGCAGATCCAGCGGCAGATCCTCATCGCCGAGTTCCAGCGGCAGCACGAGCAGCTCTCACGGCAGCACGAAGCCCAGCTGCACGAGCACATCAAGGTGAGAGGCCAGGCGGGCTCAGGCAAGTCTGCTTCCTTCCCTCACGGGGCCAGAAGACGCCACTTTACCAGGTGCTCTCTGGGAGACCCCTGCTTCCTTCTGCCTCAGAGTCTGTCTTCCGTGGGGCACAAGCCCTCTGCACTACAGGTTCATCCCTGAGAAGCTGGTGCAAGGGACCCCACCCGCCTGTCTTTCTATGACAAACGCACTCACATGCTTTGTGGAGGACGCAGGGTGTGGTGGCTCACAAGACTCTCCTAAAATACACTAAGAGTAGCAAGACTGCCAGCAGGAAGACACACTAAACTAGTGCCAGTCACCCCTGGGGGGTCCCGCCTTGTTTTCTTCTTTGGACTTTGCTCAGTCTTTTCCATTGACGTTTAATAACTGGCAAAAGATAATGTTTTCTTTTAATTTAAGATTAATAAGAAAACTTCTCACAAAGACCTCTTTGTATTCACTGTCTACAGATGTTCAATATAATCCCAGATTTGAAAACTGAACAACTTGGAAAAGGAACACGAATGATTGATATCCAGGGAATCACTCTTGGGATTCAGTTTTGTGATTATTTTGTGAGGTTGGCAAGCCGTGAAGCCTGCGATCGTGATCTTGCTCACTGTGGTAAAGCTGTGCAGGGCAGCGCCGTTACACTTGTGTAGATAATTGCAAATTGTGTAGTAGTCACATTAGACAAGAAAGCCCCCCCACCAGGTTGTAGCAGTTACCTGTTAATGGTATCAGCAGCAAACACACAGTTTCTGTGGTTCAAGAACCACTGTGGTCCTCATTGGCTGTAGGCATTGTGGAGGGTATGGCCAGGCACCCTGAAGTTGTAACCATTGTTGGTCAGGGGGGTCATGTCTGAGGGACCAGCTGGACCATGGCTGGAGGGTGGTACCCAGAAGCCTTACGTCCTCATCCAGGTGTTTGTCCATGGCCTGGTAGTACCTTTCCCAGAGCACAGGACTGAGTTGGGGGCCAGACAGAGCATCTCGAGGGCCTCACCTAAGTATGGCGCACCACCTTGGCACGTTCCTCCGGGCACCTCATGCATTGTGGGAAGTCTTGGAGAAGGGATTCTGCCTGGGTGGCGTGGCAGGTGGTCTCATGCTCACAGCCGTTCCCCAAGTCAGGGAGCCCACTTGAGCCCAGCCTGCCTGTAAAATGGGCCCAGCAGCAGCTCCCCGAGAGGGCACCTTGAGAGGCTTGTCCCCAGCCTCAGTCCTAATGAGGTGAGATCTGGGAAGTTTCATCCTGGACTCTGAGTGCTGCATTGGAGGCCGGGCGTTCGGCGTTTCGCTGTCTTGGGGGTAACCGTCTCTGCTCACACTGCCCGGTGCTCTTCGTCTGGAGGGGCTGCTGAGGGCTCCACATGCCCCAGACCTGCTAGTTGGTGGAGTGAGTCCATGTCAGGCCTGGGCCTGCTGGCGAGGGCTTTGCTCTGCTGGTAACTGCCCAGTACTCCGTGTCCACTGGGAGCACTGGTGTCCAGGACCGGGTAGTTCAGACTGGCCTCTGGCAGTTGGTGTGTGCCGGCTGGAAGGCACAGTCGGTGGAAGTCTTTCCAGGTAATGCCCACCTGCCCTCATTGTGCTGGCCTTTCTGCAGCTGACTGAGAAGGGACTCAAGACTGTCTGAGGCACTTCTTGAGCACCGGCTTCACAGTTCTACGACTCCTAAGCCTTAGGTCTCTCATGTCCTGCATATGGCTAGCCCTCACAGAGCTTACGTGACTCATCCCCAGATGTCTTGTGACCTGGGGCCACCACAGGCCCTTCTCATCCTCTCATTTTAAACATGAGGAGGAAGACCACTTCGCACGGATCACAGGCCGGTAGCATGTTCCAGTCCTCTCAGAGGTCCTGCTCTGTGCTGCCACCTGCTGGTGGCTGACTGCACTGCCGCTCTAGGTGGACCTGTAGAGCCTGGAGCTTCCTACTGTCATTTTGAGAATCCAGCTAGAAGCAGGTTCCACAGTCAGCTCCAGGCCTCTCTCTGGGGATCTGGCTTTGTGGGCTAGGTCAGCTCTCCCAGGGACCTGCCTGACCTGGTGCAGGCATCTAGTGTTGCGCGAGGGCTGGACCATGCCCTCTACGCCCCCACAGTGCTGAAAAACCCCCTCTCCTGAGGCTGAGTAGTTTGGAAGGGCACATGTGAGTGCACACGGGCTCCTGCAGACCCGTCGGGAGCCTGGCTGTGGATGGGCTGAACAGGCTACCTGCTCAGTGCTCTTCTCCCTGGGTGTTCCCGCCCGTGTCTACTCCTGGCTCGGTTTTGCACACCACCAGAGCCTTGACGCCTGTGCAGTGAGGAGTGGCCTGAACATCAGGCCCTGGCCTTGTGGTGCAGAGCAGTAGCAAAATGAACTGTGTGTTCTTTCTGTGTCCAGTCCAGCTGGATACCTTTCCAAGGGAGTGGGAGACTGAGACTCAGAAATGCACACACTCTGATTGTGTGGGGTCTGAAGGTTAGTAAGCAAAAAACATAAAAATGTTCCTTTGGACTGAGCAGGATGGCTGTGCCTGTAATCCCAGCTACTTGGGAGGCTGAAACCGAGAGAAACTCAGTTTGAGGCCAGCCTCAGCAGGAAAAGTTCATGAAGCCCCTTGTCGGTCCGTGGCTTGGGGTGGAGGCAGTGGCATGTATCTGTCATCCAAGCCATGTGGAAGCATGGGTGAGCCAGGCCACCCTGGGCGAAAGGTCTCTGAGACCCCAGCTCCAGGAGCGGGACTAGATGCAGGGGTGTGCAGCCGTGATCCCCAGACAGCATGAGAAGCCTGAAGTGGGCTGATTGTGGCTCAGGTGTGTTCCCAGATGAAAAGCAAGACTCAACCTAAAACGACCAGTGAAAAGCAGGGCTGGAGATGTGCTTCAAGTGATCCAGTCTCAGCCTCTAACCACAGTAGCACAAAGGACCTGCCTCCACGCCCCGTGCTGTAGCTCCCCCACAGCGTGGGGCTGGAGAGGCCTCAGGGTCCATTCCTGGCCTAGAGCTGACACTGGTATCAACAGACACTGGTATCAACTGAGACACGGGGGCTCCCAAACCTTCCGGTGGAACCAGTTCTGGGGGCTGGGTTCCAGGAAGCACCGAGAGCTCAAGGTTACATTTCATTCAAGGTTTTAATTGTTTTATTTTTTCATCAAAATGGAGATCATAAAAGCCTTTAAACTACATCATTGTATCATTACATTAGCAGGCTTTTGTTTTGATGATTTAAAGTCTCTTCCTGCAGTCATATTGTTAACGGCATTTGGCAGTGGTGTTTGTCAGACAGATTTCTTGAACATACAATCTAATTAGTGTCATTAAATCATCAGTGAATTTGAATAGAATTTTATAATTGGAATGGGAGTAGTTTTAAAAATATAACTTAAATTGCTAATTTTGGGTAAATCAAGGCTTGGTAAGAATTTTAAATGCTCAGTGCTCAGGATTAAGCTTGAACTTGAAATAGCTCCTGTGCTGTCCACGCCAACCTCAGCTCTGCAGTCCTGACCCCCACCCCCCCACCCCCCACAATCAGTTCCAAGTATGTGTATCTAGAGGAATTGTGAGGCTGTTATATACTAGGTAGATTGGCTTGCTGTATTACTTAAGAAGCATAGATTCTTGATGTTTACAGTTGAAAAACAGTGCAGATGAGTAGTAGCACAACCCTGCCCCTCCTCTGCTCCTCAAGAGCCCCAGGCCTGGAACTGGTTTGAGGCAGGTAGCCAGCCTTATCTTTGCCCTTCCACGGGGACTGATGCAGCATTTTTCTCCTCACCCTGGTCCTTGTGATGTGTACACACTGCTCTTCTGTAGCCTCTGTGTGCTTTACTTCACCTGGCCTTGTGGCTGAAGAACTGAGTGTCACATTGCTATTACTATTCCATACAGCTGAGCCCTGCAGCACAGAGGTCGACGATCTTTCTTAGCAGCTCTTGGTTTCCTAGAGTTCCCAAATTTCCCCTTTCCATTGGCTGATCCCTTCCATATACTGCTGTTGATACAAACCCAGTACCACAACTCAAGGTACCTGTTGCAGCCTGAAGTGAGTGACCAGCTGTCTATGACAGAGAGAAGAAAAAGGGAACAGGCAGCCATTGGAACACAAGATATTCCTGCCAGAGCAGACCACAGATGTATGTATCCCGAAAGACTCAGCCAGGGGCATCTCAGAAAGCATCTGAGTGGCTTTGAAACACAGGGCCTGTTGGCAGGGCTGGTGCTAAGCCGGCTCCTCCGTGGATGGTGCTGTTAGCCAAGTGTGCTTGGCAGGGGTAATCAGTGTCCCTCCCTAAGCCTGAGCCGGGTGCTCACCTAGACACCACGGGTCCTTGATACTCCTTGTGCACAGTACAGGCCTCTTCTGTTCCTCGTCTTTTCTGGCACTTCCCTGGTTGCTCGTGTGGACAAACGTATTTCCATATTCTGAGTGGCTATTTGTAGTTTTTCTACTAATTTCATTTTTTCATCTATACAGAGGCACTTCTTATGAATAAGAGTATTATTTGAACTATTATATATTGTTCTTTGGATATTTCATTGCAAAATAGTTATCTACTTGTCTTACCCTTATTCACAAGTGAAAATGTTCTTTTTCGGTAGACTAAAAACAGCACCTCTGCCTCCGGCTGAGAGTGTACGTGTCTGCCTCTGTGTCCGCTGGCAGTGTTCTTGCGTGAGCACCTGCAGCTTTGGTGGAAGCCTACGCAGCCTGTGGACCGGCCTTGCTTCTCTCTTCTTCCCTCATGGTGGGCCTCAGCTTGCCCACTTCTCCTTCCAAATGTGCCAGACCATTCCAACGTTTCCAAAGTTGGTCTAGAAATGATTAGAATAGCCATGATAATAACCGCTAGTGAGTTTCTAGTTTAGGAACATGATTTTCCATCCTTAGTAGACACCTTGTTTTAATTTTCTCTTATATGCTTAAAGGTTTTAGATTTAAGTATTAGGCACTTTATATTTTTGCTTCTACAGTTAGTATATTCGTTTCCTCAGTCTTTCCTTC